GTGTGTGTGTGAGAGTGTGTGTGTGAGTGTCAGATCCACACTGGGGCTCATGCAGAGGCAGTTGATGAACCAAAAAAGCTGCAGTTCACACTGATGCAAATCGAGCCTGAGCAGCAGCTGGTGTCTAAACTTTAGCACAAAGTAGTGATGCAATTATAATTTAACTTTGATTTATTGTTTTTCTTTTTTCTGCACAATTAAAAAAACAAAACAATGAATCCAATAAGAAAGAAAGAAATGATGATCAGGTGAGAAGAAAGAAACCTCGAGTAAAAAACCACTGAGGCAGCTTCACACCATGACGATACACTTTGTACACAACTGAAATGCTGCAGGTCTCACACACACCGACTCTCTCCGTCCAGGTTGCATCTAATCAGTCTGGATATTTTCAGTTTTCCACCAGTCATCTCCTGCTCTGACTCAGAACGCTCCCTCCCCCCTCTCTCTTCCTCCCTCTCTCTTCCCCATCATCTCTTCCTCCATCTCTCCATCCTGCCAGGAAAGTGTTGACAGCTCTCATCTTTCATCCGTCTGATGTGATTTCGCTCCTCTGTATGCATCTGAAACTCTCCATTCACATTTCATGGGCTGATGAAGGGCCACATACTGTCTCAGCTGCTCAAACCTCTGGTTCACTTACACTTCCTCACTTTGTCCTTGAGGCCTCATTAGACCAGTTACTGGAGGAACATGAACTCAGCTCGGCTCATTTATCCTCTTCACAAACTGAACCATTTCAATGTTTGACTCTTCTCAAGATGTGTACTTCTGTATGCCAACACACACACACACACACACACGCACACGCTAACATATGATGATTGTACAAATGACAAACGGAACTTTAATAACTAAACCCGTGAAAGGCTGAGAGGAATGTGAGAGCTTGTGTTGGTTTTTTGGTCATAAAGCAAAGTATTGGACAAGTTGTGACCTGATGGTGGCGCTGTAAAAGTGAAATGATCACCATTTTGTAATTCATGGGTCGGGGAAGAGCTCATGAAATCTAGACGCAAATCTAGATTATTTACTTTGGATTAGAATAAAGTGTGTGTTTGTGCCGCTCAGTGCTTCGAGCTGGTTTTAAAGAGAAATGATAAGTCGTCTGATTTCTTAACAAATACAGTTTAATGTGTCTGTTTGCGTCGAGAGGAAGGGAAGGTGAACTGGTACACTGTGGAGGTGTGTAATGGAGTTACACTGTCAGAGATGCTGGAGGTTGTGAGCTTATAGAAAACCTCTTCGCTATCGCTCTCTCTCGTTTAATGTCTCGTCTCTGGTTTGTCTCACTTAATTCTATCTCCTCATCTCCTGATCCATCCATCAGTCTCTCTCTCTCTCTCTCTCTCTCCTCTGCTCACATCATGTCTCTTTGCAACTCATTTTTACTTCCATCATCCTTTTCCCTCTCTCTCTCTCTCTCTCTCGATGAGTGAGTGAATGAGTGGGTGGATGGGTGGGTGAGTGCGGGCGAGCGGGCACATCCACTGATGCACTCCTGGTCATTAATAAAAGTTTTATACACAGTCAGGAAATGCATTTGAGCCCCGGTGGCTCAGCTCCTGTCAGACACAGGAAATGGGCGCTTGGCCGACAGCCAATCCTGCTATTTCAGGGGTTCGTCCGGAGCCAATCAAACTGGGCCTGGTCGGTTAATGGATCAGTGGCTCTACACCTAAACATCTGCAACAATTAGAGCGTGTGTGTGTGTGTGTGTGTGTGGGGGGGGGGGTGACCAGGGTGGGAGCTGTGCAACACGTGAACCAGCGCAGCAGAGATCAGCCGCAGTCACCGCAATGGTAGATGACTAATTTGTTACATACATGAGACCTGGTTGTTTTATTTGTTGTTTTCTGTGGCACCAGGAAAAAACCACAGATCAAATGTATACTGCTCCATGTGGTACCAACATGTATCGCACCTATTGGGCTTAAACCGGCTGCTTATGACGAAACTATTGTCCCAGTGATAGATGAGTACATTCAAACAGTCATGGTAGCGTGTTGACTGATTAAAGCACAGATGAAACATCTGAAGATCTCAGAAACATCATGATCTCTAAATCATATGTGAGATATTCCACAGAGAAGAAAAAGGAAAGTCTGCTGACGCTCAATCAGCTCTGAGGTTCAGTCTGGACAACGTTTCCGAGCAGCAGTTGTGGAGATGGTTCAGTTAGAAACGTTCATACAGAAGCAGACGGAACCTTCTCGACATCTTTATCACACGTAGAAACCATAAATGAGCCGTTCTGATGATGCACATTTCTGACTTCCTGTCGATCCATCGTCTTCCTCTGCGGCACAATCATCAGAATTTCTCACATAACGTCTGCGATGAAACTTCAAGGAGCTGTTAGCATGGTGCTACGCTCTGGTCCCACTGCAGCTCCACACGGTGGAGACGGCTCGTAGTTAACAACATCGCCCCAGGAACCACCCGGGTGACTGAGTCAACAGACGCTCATCACTTCACACCTTTAACAAGGCTTCAAGCAAAACCAGTAAAAGTTCTGCAGTCGTCAGTCGTGTCACATCGATTCATTCAATCTGTCGTCAGCGCAGTTTTCAAACTAAGCTCAGGGCAAAAGAAGTCAGGAGAAATTTCCCTTCGCTTCCTGTCTGACTGTCCAGCCAAGCACTTCAGATAAAAGCATTCAGTCAAGAGCAAGTGTGTGTGTGTGTGTGTGTGTGTGTGTGTGTGTG